TTTTTCTTTTTCCCTCTGTTATTACATGCTTTTAATGAATAAATAAATAAAGAAAGAAAGAAAGGTTTTGGGACAAGAACACATGAGATTTACTCCCTTGTCTACTGCCACAACCTCCAGTCATTATGGACAGTTGATAAGTTTGTTGTCAGAGGATAAATATCTGTGCAATTTGGTGGAAAAAGTCACTTGTCGTTTTTACACTGCCATTCCAAAGGGTCGCCAATATCCCGCTCTTGTGCTGTTCCTACAGATCAAGCTAAGGTCGGTATAATTACGAGCCAGCCTTTGAATTCAGACAGCAGGTCAGCATTCCACACAAGAGGCAAGACACGAGTCGCTCTACATAAACTGTGAATTAAATTTAGCGCCGGTAGTTTACAAACCAAAACAACAATGGCGGGAGAGATGAGTGCGGATGTAGCTTTGTTGGCTCTTTAAGCATTTCTTTCACTTCATGCAAAATTGGTTATGAGTAATAACTTAACAGAGTACAAGGGTTAAGTCAGTATGTGTTCGTGGCATCAGGAATGCTTTGACCTGTAAGGAGCCAAGAACATTTCGAGGCAGAGCTGCGTGCAGACTTGAGGCGCCGGTGATGATGTCACACATAGTATATTGTATCATCAAAACATAGAACTTAGTCCTGGACTGCCTGCTCACCCTTTCTACACAGAACGTGTTTCCCCTTTATCTCGTCTCCACTACTACTTCCCAAGGTGGACCAGAGGTGGAACGAAAATGGCCTGCCATTCCGTTTTTGCTCCTTACACACAGAAAACAAGACGGTATAAAGGCCCACCAATCCCGCCCCAAAAAGGCAGTGTGTGGACTACTAACTGTGGCCTGTTCGGTCTTAGGTTTTAGCCAGTCATTAAGTGTGTGCCCACCTTAATCTCGAGTGTTTTTCACAGAAAATTGGATGGTAGCTACTGTTCCCTTATGAACCTGATATGGAAAATGATTTTTTTGTCCCACTTTGGCTGTCTTTCTCTTGTTCCCTTTGTAATACTGCCTTTGCCAGTTGAAGCTGCTAGTTGCTGTTTTGTGTATGCCTTGTGGTTAATTTGTTTGCTATGCAGTTTTACTCTTCTGACAAATTGCTTCTTTGTTTTTTTTGTGGTGGTGTTTTTTTTTTTCTGTCCACTCAAAAAATAGTTTAAAGAAATCAGCTTTGCCTATGAGGTGCTGACCAACCCAGAAAAGAAGGATCTTTATGATCGCTATGGAGAACAAGGCCTGCGGGAAGGCGGTGGGGGCGGCCCGGGTATGGACGACATCTTCTCCCACATCTTTGGTGGTGGGCTCTTTGGCTTCATGGGTGGTCAGGGTAGTCGCTCCAGGAATGGAGGCCGGAGAAGAGGAGAGGACATGGTCCATTCACTCAAGTAAGACCAAGCTTCTACATTCACTTATAGATTTATACTGTCTTGGGGGCAGATATTCAGTGAAATATGCTTGATGTTCAGTACAGGTCATCACTATTCTTAACTCATCTGTCTTGTGTCAGTTAACAGTATCTAAATATCATGCTTCCTCTGCAGGGTGTCACTGGAGGATCTCTACAATGGGAAAACAACTAAACTACAACTTAGCAAGAATGTACTGTGTAGCACTTGTAATGGGTAAGTTGTGTAAGCAACATGGTGCTGTAGTCTACTTTGATATAATAGTCTTTTGCTGTGTTAGTCCTGTTACATTCTCTGTTTCTAACAATGAGTCTAATTCTGGGTGTGTGTACGCAGTCAGGGAGGCAAGACGGGTGCTGTACAAAAATGTACAACGTGTAGGGGGCGTGGCATGCGCATCATGATCAGACAGCTGGCCCCAGGGATGGTCCAACAGATGCAGTCTGTGTGTACTGATTGTAATGGTGAAGGTAAGGGCCACAGTGATCCATGATCAACCATTCCATCTCTGTGTTATTGGGTCTTGACCTGCACAGAAACCTTTGATTTCTCTTTGTTGTCTTTCCAGGTGAAGTTATCAGTGAAAAAGACCGCTGTAAAAAATGTGAGGGCAAGAAAGTTGTGAAGGAGGTGAAGATTCTGGAGGTACACGTGGACAAGGGCATGAAGCATGGCCAGAAAATTACCTTTGGAGGGGAAGCTGACCAGGCACCTGGTATTGAGCCTGGGGATATAGTCCTTGTCCTACAGGAAAAAGACCATGAGGTAAGCAGGCCAGTCTATCAGTCCTGTAGCCATTTCCATCTTCCACTGTGTTCTGCATCTCTTGTGCATTCTGTGTCGTGGGGGATTTTTTTATGACACAGTTTGCTCATATCATAGTTTTGTCAGTTGCTAATTATTTCCTGCCCATATTAAGATGACCTTTGTTCTGAGCCAAATTCCCTCAGCTGCCCCCAACTTGGACCCTTTTGAGATTAAATAGTTTAGTGTGCTGTAGCTGCACTTTCCTTATGAAGTACCTTTTATGCATAAAATATTCAACGACCACGTGTCTGGCATTGAGTGCTTGTGGGTTTTGGTGTTTGAAAACAGACAATTTGTGAGCAGCTGCTCCTCTTCTTGTATTTGTTTTCTAACACCGCACTGTCAGCCGTGGAGATCTAGCTGTTCTAATAGTATGGCTGGCTAAAGTATCATTATAATACAGCTGTTTCCGAGGTGAGCACACTGTATATAGCATGAATGTACTGTATATGGACTGCTCTGCAAGTGGATAAAGTTAATGCTAAATTCTTAAGTTCTGCTGCCCAATGTTTGCTCCCTCAGTCTAGAGTAATATTGGAAATGTGGGAAAGCTGAACAGTCTGACCGATTATTTCTAGCCTTCAGCCAGTGCTGCTGAAGCAGCTAGAGGGCATCTAAACAAGACAGTTGAAGAGAAACATGTAGAAGAGGACAGCAGCCACCATGGTGCTGTGGGAGAGCCATCTAGTATAGCAGTGGCAGGTCAGATGAACATCAAGCATGACTCTATAGTATTTGTATATTCTTAATTTAAAAAAAAACATATGAATTATTAATGTTTGAATATGTGCTTGAGGGTCATGAACCCTGACCTTAACTGAGGCAAGTGAAGCCTGCAGTTCTTTAGATGATGATTTCTTTTGTGACCCCTTGGATGCGTCGTCCCTGCGCTCTTGGGGTAATCTTGTTAGGTTGGCCACTCCTGGGAAGGTTCACCACTGTTCCATATTTTCTCCATTTGTGGTTAATGGCTCTCACCGTGGTTCGCTGGAGTCCCAAAGCTTTAGAAATGGCTTTGTAACCCGTTCCAGACGGATAGATGTCAATGAATTGGCTTCTCATGTGTTTCTGAATTTCTTTGGATCACAGCATGATGTCTTGCTTTTTGAGATCTTTTGGCCTACTTCACTTTGTCAGACAGGTTACATGGTGATTTCTTGGTTCAACAGGTCTGGCAGTAATCAGGCCTGGCTGTGGCTAGTGAAATTGAACTCAGCCTTCTAAAAAAATGTGATTAATCACAGTAAATT